ACGAAGTAAGGTTGTTTAGGATTAATTAATTTATTATAATGTATGACTCTAAAGTAATATGTATTGACGCGTGAACTAGGTGATCGAGTTGCTGAGGAAGTCCCCAGTAAGGGACGAAACGTTCAACAAGATCAAATAAATTTGTTCATCAAAATTTATTAACTGTCTTCAATTTTCCCTTTGAAACTCATATATATGAAACATAATCTTCTAAGGTCGAGTTTACGTCTTATTATAACGTTTTAAAAAAGATAAAAAAAGTGGAAAAAAATCATCTCGAGTTTAAATACGTTTAATCAAGTTGTATTTTAGCGAAGATAAAACGTGAATTATGATAGTCGTTAAAGTCATGTTGTATCCTTCACTTAGAAACTCACTAACGAGGACAGGATGACACCTAATCTAGAGTTGTAAACTAGGGATAAAGGTTTTCATCGTTTAAATCTTCGTTAAGGGGGTAAACTTCGATCATTTTCGATGAATCTTTTGGCAACTTATGGCAAATCATTTTTCGTTCGTTAGAAGATAAATTTATCGAAAATATACGTCGATCATTTTTTTTTATCTTTTTAAGATCAAACACACGCAAAGCACATTCATTAATACAATTATTATATAAATTTATATTATAAAATTATTTTTTCATAGTTTATTATATAAAATTATATTATAATATTATTTCATAATTAATTTTCAATAAATCGTTCCTAAAAATAGTAATAAAAAAAAAAGCTATTGTGTAACAGAGGACAAAGTAATAATAATAAAGTGATTAAGAAGATATTAATATTAGTAAAAATAATTTTGTTAATATTTTTTGATTAACCACTTATGATAGTTTTAATGTTAATAATATCATAATACAAACAAAATGAAAAGATAAAACAATTAATTCCGACCTTCTTTTTTTTTTTCTTTTTTTCTTTTTGTTACCTTTCTTGTTATCAACGTGAACGTGTTATACGAGATTAGCTTGGTAGATTGTGTAAATAAGATTATAGCTTGTATAGATTAAAACTCGGATAAAGAATAAATATTTTTTATGGAAAATAAAAAAGAAGGAGAAGAAGAAGAAAAATATAAAAGAAAAGAATTGGCTACGTATTGAAAATGGTTTTAATTATACATAAAAGTATTCCTCAATCCCCTTTTTTTCTTTTTTTTATCTTTTTCTTTTTACTCAAGGATAAATATTTTTGCATACATCAAAAAATATTCTTCTTCTTTCTTCTCGAATATTCGTAATATTTAAATTTGGAAATATCCGATATATTATTTTAAAAAGATAAATATCTTCTTTTACTTTACGAGATAATATTACAAACGAATTCGAAAAAGAAAAAAAATAACATTATAAACACAAAATTTCTTCTCTTAAGTTGAAAATTAATTACTTTGTTCACTTTGCATAGAAAATAGAAATCATCGTTTCGAGATTCCCATTATTAATAATTGAACGCTAGCCAAATATTGAATCGCTATTCGTTGATTGAGAAACACTGGTCTATGTAAATAACACTTTGAGAAGTTACAAAATGAAATAAATTTTGTTTTCTTTTTTGTTGTTTCTCTTTGTTCTTCTTCTTAATTTAATTTTTTATTCATACGATTTTATTTTTATTAACGAATCAATTTATAATCGTTACATCCTAATTGAAATTCTTATTAAAATATTATTTTATTATAAGTCACACATAAGTGTATAAAATATCATTGATCTGGATATAATAAACAGAAGGTTTGATGAAAATAGGAAATTGAAAAATTCTTTCTCCAATCGTTTGGTTTAATCGATCCGTGAAATAGAATCGAATTAAATGTAAACGTAAATTGGTTTACTCTCGAATTCGTCCAATTAGTTTCACAAATGGGATATACTTTGAATAAAACCCTTTTTTCTTTTTTTTTTTTTTTTACAAAAGACATTTACATGGTATTACTGAGAGAGAGAGAGAAAAAAGAACCCCCATGGAAAACGAACGTTACGCGAGGAATAATTTTAAATGAGAAAGAACGTTCATGTTTGTTTCTTGTCACGTTATTCGCATTACATCCTTTTCATAATGCAGATTACATTTTTCTTTTTTCATTATTATTATTATTTTACATATTACATGACGAATATCGAACGTTAAAAGAAGAAGAACACAATTTTATAGAAATATATATCTTTTCTATAATATATATTAATTATATTATATATATTTTTTATTATATTATATTATATTAACAAAACATATGTGTGTGTGTGTGTGTGTGATTGTTTAAATTTACGATAAATATCCCAACTTATTGTTATGTTACAATGTGTTGTAATTTTAATTATCAAATTTATCGTATTTTATGCATTTCACAGTACTAGAACATCTACACAAAGGAATAGCAATTTAAATTGAAATATCTTTTGTAACAGACTACAATTATAAGTATTTAATAGAATTTTCCAAAAAAATTACATCATATAATAACATAATTATTTCTCTTAGTTGGATGAACATTTAAAAAGACAATTTTTTGCCCATTATTATCATAATCATAATAATCGAAAAAGATAGAACATTTTGTTATTTTTCAAACATTCCATCTCAATCTATCTCGTTCAATTTTATTTATTATTAATTAAATTGGATTTAAAGTGTGTCATTAATTAGTTATTTAAAAAAAAAAAAGAAGACAAAAATGATGTTCTGAAATGCAAGGAAGTAATTTTCCTTTACTCGTGCAAAAGCATTATCACTGACAATGAGAACAAGTACACAAATACAAACACACACATAC